GCTGGCAGGAAGAGTGGTTAGAGGCAATCAGGCAGGTAGTCAGGCCGGTGAGTGGTTAGGAGCCAGAAGTCCCGGATTGCAAGAGGGATGTCCAACTGCTGGTTTAGACCCGGTCCCTGTAAACTGGCAGTAGGACATCCTTTGAGGTGTCCCAAATTGGAGAGGGTGAAGGCCAGGCTGAGGAACACACCCTCCCCCATGCACGAATTTCGTGCACCGGGCCACTAATATATATATATAATTGTTGTCATTGCCCCACTTTACCCCCCTCCTCCCAACCCCTACTACCCCCTTCAGGTCTTCACCATTCTATTACCCCTTTCTATGAGCTATGTATATAAATATATAGCTTCTTTGCTTTATCTCTTCTCATCCCCACATCCCCACATTGAGGTATGACAGTCTGTTTGCTGCCTCCATTCTTTGAGGCTTATTTTGTTGGTTAATTCAATTTGTTCATTAGATTCCACAAATAAGTGAGATCATGTGATATTTGCCTTTCTCAGATTGGCTTGTTTCACTTAGTATAGTATTTTCCAGGTCCGTCCATGCTGCCCTAAAGGGAAAGAGAGCTCTCTTTTTTACAGCTGCATAGTATTCCATAGTGTAAATACCACACAGCTTTTTTACTCATTCATCTACTGATGGGTACTTGTGGTGTTTCCAAATCTTAGCTATTGTAAATAATGTTGTTATGGATATATGGATACATATATTCTTTCTGACTGGTGTTTTGGTTTTTTTTTAGGACATATTTCCAGAAGTGGGATCGCTGAGTCAAACAAAAGATTCATTTTTAATTTTTTGAGGAAACTCTATATTGTTTCCCATAGTGGCTGCACCAGTCTGCATTCCCATCAGCAGTGAACTAGTGTTCCCTTTCTCCACATCCTCAATAGCACTTGTTGTTTATTGGCTTATTGATGATAGCCATTCTGACAGGTGTGGGCTGATATCTCCTTGTGGTTTTAATTTGAAATTCTCTGGTGATTAGTGACATTGAGCATTTTTTCTTATCTCTTGGCCATTAAAGAGAAATGTCTATTGAGGTCTTCTATCCATTTTTTATTGGATAATTTCTCTTTCTTTATTGAGTTGTATGAGTACCTTATATATTTTGAATATTAACCCTTTTTTAGATGTATCATTGACAAATATGTTCTCCCATACAGTAAGTTCCCTTTTCATTTTGATGGGTTTCCTTTTGGTGTGCAGAAGCTTTTCTATTTTGATGCAGTCCCATTTGTTTATTTTCTCCTTCATTTCCTTTGCCCTAGGTCACAGTGGTCAGCAAACAAAATACCGACTTCTGCGCATGGGCCACAAAGTTTCAATCGCACTGTACATGCACGCCCGCACATGGTATTTTGTGGAAGAGCCACACTCAAGGGGCCAAAGAACCGCATGTGGCTCTCGAGCCACAGTTTGCCGACCACTGCCCTAGGAGATGTATCTGTAAACATATTGCTACTTGAGATGTCTGAGATTTTATTGCCTATGTTCTCCTCTAAGATTTTTATGGTTTCATACCTTACATTTCAGTCTTTTATCCATCTTTAATTTATTCTTATGTATGGTGTAAATGGTGGTCTAGTTTCATCTTTTTGCACATGTCTGTCCAATTTTACGAATACCATTTGTTGAAGAGAAAGTCTTCCAGTGCTATGTTAAATAAGAGTGGTAAAAGTGGACATCCATGTCTTATTCCCATTCTTAGGGGAAGTGGTTTTAGTTTTTGCTCACGAGTATGAAGTTCACTGTAGGTTTGTTAAGTATAGCCTTTATTACGTTGAGATATGATTCATCTATTCCCACTTCACTGAGAGTTTATTAAAAGAGGGTGCTGGATTTAGTAGAATCATTTTTTGTCATCTATTGATATGATCATGTGATTTTTATCTTTCAATTTGTTTCTTTGAGGTATCACATTTATTGATCTGTGAATATTGTACCAGGCCTGCATCCCCAGAATAATCATGGTGCATGATATTTTTAATATATTGCTAGATCTGATTTGCTAATATTTTGTTGAAATTTTTAACACCTGTGTTCTTCAGGTATATTATTCTGTAATTTTCTATCTTTGTGGTTTTTTTTCTGGTTTTGGAATTAAGATCATGCTTGCTTTGTTAAAAGAGCTTGAAAGTGTTCTTTTCTCCTGAATGTATATTCTGTTGCTTTGGAGTGAAATGTACTGTAAATATTGGTTAGATCCACCTGATCTAGTATGTCATTTAAGGCCTCTGCTTTCTTGTTCATTTTTTGTCTGGAAGGTCTACCCAGTAATGAAAGTGGGGTGTTAAAATCCCCTACTATGATTGTATTTCTGTCAATCTCTCCCTTAAAGTTCATCAAGTACGTTTTTATATAATTGGGTGCTCTTATATTCATTGCATATATGTTTACAAGGCTTATACTTTCTTGTTGAATAATTCCCTTTAGTATTATGTAATGGCCTTCTTTGTCTCTTGTTTTGGCCTTTGTTTTGAAGTCTATTTTGTCTCACATGAATACTGCTGCCCAACTTTTTTTCCCTTTCCTTTTGAATGGAATATATTTTTCTATTCCTTCACTCTTAGTCTGTGTGTATCTTTTGTTCTGAGGTGGGTCTCTAATAGCATGTATATGGGTCATGTTTATTATGCATTCATTAACCCTATGTCTTTTGACTAGAGTATTTAATCAATTAAATTTAAGGCTATTATTGGTAGGTATTTATTTATTGCCATTTTTCTTGTCTTTATGCCTAGGATCATCTCTCTCTCCTTTTCTTTTTAAAGCAGTCTCTTTAACACTTTTTGCATTGTTGGTTCAGTAGTAATGTACTCCTCTAACCTCTTTTTGTCCAGAAAATGTTTTATTTCACCTTAAATGTTAAATGATAGCTTCTTTGGATACAGTAGGTTGGACTTAGGCCCTTGCTTTTCATTACCTTGAGTACTCCATGTCACAACCTCTGGCCTAAAATGTTTTTATTGAGAAGTCAGCTGTCATTCTAATGGGAACTCCTTTGTAGGTAATTTTCTCTCTCTCTTACTGCTTTTAAGATTCTTTCTTTGTCTTTAATGTTTGCCATTTTAATTATGATGTGTCTAGGTGTGGGTCTCTTTGGGTTCATCTTGACTGGGACTCTCTGTGCCTCCTGAAATTGTGTGACATTTTCCTTCACCAGGTTGGGAAAGTTTTCTGTCATTATTTTTTAAAACAGGTTCTCTGTTCCTTGCTTCCCCTCTTCCCCTTCTGGTATTCCTATAATGTGGATGTTGTCATGTTTCATGTTGCTCCAGAGCTCCCTTAAGCTATCTTCCTGCTTTGTAATTCTTTTTTCTATTTGCTGCTCTAATTGGGTATTTATTTCTACCTTGTCTTCTAAATTGCTGTTTCCATTCTCTGATTCATCCAATCTACTTTAAATTCCTTCCAGTGTCTTCTTGGCTTCAGATATATTATTCTTCATTTCTGTCTGGTTGTGGTTATTGTTTTCTATTTCCATTTCATGCTGCTATAGTTCCCACTGAGATGCACAATTGGCAGACCCAAAGGTTTTTGAATTTATCATTATTGTTGAATGTATTACAGATGTCTCTTTAGTTTTTTTTGGTTTGTTTTATTGTGTGCTTTTTTCTCCATTGATCCCCTCCACCCTACACCTACCCCTTCCAAGCCTTCAGCACACTATTGTCTGTGGCCATGGGCTATGCATATACGCATATAAGTTCCCTGGTTATTCTCTTCTCCTAACACCCACCCTTGCCTTTCCTTTGAAATTTCTTTCAATGTCTGTGTATAATTATATACATACTAGAGGGCCAGGCCAATCTAGGCTCCAGATGGCTACCTCTATAGGTAGAGTTTTGGACAAGTTTTACCTTTACTCTTTACTTGTTTCTTCCTCACCTTACATTTAGCACCTGTTTTGTATGTGAGTGTGTGTTCTCATTTTCTAATGAAAGTGGAAGGCCCATTGTAGAACCAGTGATGCATCCATTCTCTATCCACCCCAGAGGCAGTGTGTTGGAGCTTCTTGCATGGTGTCATTTCCATTTTAGCCTGTTTGGCTCCAGGGAGTGGAAGGAAGTTAAAAAAGTTTTCCATTCAATGGTGAGCTGTCCTTTGGACCTTGTGGTTCCAATTCTCTTAGATATGTGTCATTTAGGACCCCAGAGGAAAACTATGGTAATATTTGAAAGTTGTGTCTTTCTTTCTTAGTGTCATTGGACTCTCATTTTGAATTAAATGTTTATTTTTTTTCTTTCTATCTTATTAATAAAGATGAAGAAGAAAAAGGTAAGTTCTATTAATGTATTTTCTTAGATAACTAGTCATGGTCCACCCATTAAATGTACCTTTTCCTTTGACCCCCAATGATCATCATTCTCAACCTTAAATACACATTTTTACATTATTTTCTCTTGAATCTAGTCTTTCCAACTGAAAGTTGCCATTTTTTATTTGCTATTAAAACATCCCTTAATGTTTCTTTTTTTTTAATTTGTCTGGTTGTTGCATCTACACAGATACTCCTTTTGAGTCAGGTACATTTTATTAATTATGCATATTTGAGATACTGGCATTTTCAATGTGGCTAAGGTGAGCATTTGTTTAAGATATGCCTGGATCATTTTATTTGGACCAAATAACTGTCCTTTAATAATTCATTTCCTTACTTTCATAAAATATAATTAAGAAGAACTTCATTTAGACATTAAATATAAATTAACACAAGGCAAGGTTTGTATTCATTGGTTGATAATAATGTTGTGAATAAAGGAGCCTGGGGGGATCACCCTGCAGATCACCCTGCAGTACCTCTAGAAGTTTCTCTTGTAGTAGTAGTAGTACGAGTAGGACCAGAGAAGCTTCTCTGATTTGATGTTTGTGGCTACTTTCTACTACATAGCTACTTCAAGAAATAAAATTGGATATTCCCGTCAATTGAAAGCCAAAGAACTGATTAAATCTTACACACTGAACAATAATATTCTAACTAATGTCAAAAGACAAAATAAATAATTTAAGAGGTAACCATAAGAACTACTATTCCTAAAATTTTCTATAATTTAATAAATTTACTCATCATGCTCATATTCATTTTGGGAAGAAAAAGGTAAGTTCCATTAGTGTATTTTCCTAAATCAAAATTGATTTCAACCACTATATTTTGCAGGTGTGTTTATGATTGTGTGTGTGTCTACAGGCAATTGTGTGTACATGTGTGTATGTATTATGTGCTCCCTGCTTGTTTGAAACATGAATTTTGCATTAAATTTGCATCTTCTTTCTACATTTTTCATGATATTTATACTGATTTCTTTATTTTATTTTCCAGAAGAAAGCAAGATAGATTTTGGTAAATTTTTTGTCAACCCATTACTCTCAATCCTGTTAAAATTACTGGCTTCTCATTGTTTTAATCTGTCTTGCTTGTTAATCTATATACCATCCATTGGCTCACTGTTCTCCTATAAGTCTATGCTTTTCTCCTCCAAATATCGCTATACAGACTTATCCCTCATTAAGTCTCTCCGTATTAATTTGCCAATCTCCCAACATTGATAGTCTTTCCTTTTCCACTTCAATATCATTTGTCATTATCAACATTGGCCTTTTTACTTTCCAGAGACTTGTACAGTTTAACTAATAAGTTGGTGAGATGAAGGGCTTTAGATTGATAGGCCCAAGGTTCTCATTCTGAAAGTCTTATAGAACACATACAAAGATAGACCTCTGTCATCTACACCAAATTAAAAGGCCCACTTTTAAGTCTTTGATACTTCCTCTAACCTCCAGAGATGAGAGATGTATAACATATGGAATGAAGTTTGTCTTTTAAAGCCTGTGCAAATTTTGATAATATTCATTGGTCAAGTGTGAAGTTCAGATTCATTTTTTCTATTGCCTTTGACAATATTACCCAAATTATCAAGGTATCCAAACATTACCCATGATTATCCTGGAAAAATTTACTATAAAACCGTAATAAATACTTCCTTTTTTCTTTTCTTTTTAAAAAATATTGTTGATAGTATTACAGATGTCCCACTTTTTCCCCCCATTGCCCTCTTCCACCCGGTTCCCACCCTACCCAGGCCTTCACAACCTTATTGTCTGCATAGAATTTCTTAGGTCAATCTCTTTTGGCCTTCCTCCTCAAACTCTACCCTCTGAGATTCGTCAGTCTGTTACATGTTTCCATGTCTCTAGTTCTATTTTATTCATCAGTCTATTTTTTCATTTGATTCCTTGTTTCTTTATTTTAATTTTTAGTATCAATTATTGATAGGTACATATTTATTGCCATTTTATTGTTCATATTTTTTATCTTTTCTTCTCCCTCTCTTCCTCCTCCTCATCCTCCTCCTTCTTCTCCTTTACTTCTCTTCCTCCTGCTCCTCCCCGAAGTTATGGGGACTTCTCCCAGCACTGGAACCATAGCTGAGGGGTCTGGTGTGCGACTTAGAACCCTTGCTCCTCACGGGAGGTGTCCACAGCCTATATATCCCTTCTGTTAAAACATGCCACACATGGGTGTAGGACCAGCCCATTCCATGCCTGCGCCCTCCATACCAGTCTCAGTGTGCTCTCTACTTCTCTAGTTGTACAACTTCCATTCATCCAGATTTCAGGTGGTTCTGAATGATGGTTGTTCTGTATTTTAATTGTAATTTTGATGTGGTGTGGGAATCTGTGAATACTGATGTTTACCTACACTGCCATATTGGTTCTCTCCCCTTTTTTATTTTCAATGATACAATTTTTATTATGACCAACTGTATTTGAGATAAATATTTGTATAAGGTTTTATATCTCAGGAATTAGCCTGTTAAAATAAAATCTCTAAATTCTCAGATTTTCATGTAAATGACATAGGATACAATTATCCCAGGCTATTGGACATATTTTTTTTCATACAACAACAATATAAATCTTAAAACATTACATACTCCTTGTAAAGACCATACTATTATTGCTGGTGCTCTTGTCCCACTTCGGGCGTCCATTTATGCCGGGGTTCCTGTCCCGGCATCAAGAAGGGTTCAGGAATCTGGAAAAGGGGCTGCGTGTAGATGACATAGAAATCCAGAGACTAATAAAGAGTCCGGAGACGAGATATAATTTTGAAAGGCATTGGGGGTCGGAGGACCTTCAGCTAAAGGAACTGAAGAGTCCCTCCTTGTCTAGGACCCTTGCTTTTGTTAACACAATTTGTCCGAAGGCAAGGTGGAGATAATACACTTCAAAGAGTAAGGTTTCAAAGGGTACAGAAGCATTGTCAGTTTGGGGAATAGCCTACGGCTGTTCAGGTGTTTGGCCAGTAGGAGGCAATAACATGTAGATTAAGATGCCCTTTAACTGTCTGGCAGCC